CATACTTTAAAAACGTCATGCCTTTACTTTTTATTTCAAGTCTGCTGTGTTCAGTGTTGCAACTGTTTCCTTTTACCAGTTCCTCTTGACAAATATAAGCTTACTTTGTAATACACTTAGGGCAGTGACTGTGGTTGCTGAAAATCATACCAAATTTGAGACCAGAAAGCCTGTGTTTAGTCCAGGGTCTGCATTTGTAACTTGGAGCAATTTAACATTTCTGTAACTCAGACTTTTCCCTCTAGGCGTGATTAATTCTACCTCATGCCGAAACTGAATATCATGTGAAATCTTTTTGTAATCTGTAAAGGTTTTAAACATTTTGATTATTAAAATGGCAACTTTTGAAAAAAATTAATATTAGAGATTATAATGATTCATGATTTTAAACATACTTAGAAAATTCCAGTTTTTATCATCTGATTTAATTTTCTTCACATAGTCTTATTTAATAAATGCTAAAGCTACTTTTTAATTATTTTGCATAAGTGAATTTCCCAGTCTGGAAATTTTTGAAAAGTTCTTTCTTTAATATTTTGTTTTTTCATTTAAAGAAAGTTTAAATGAAAAACATTTATTTAAAAATGTACGGTTATGATATTGTATTTCTCTTATAGAAATTAAAATTAAATGTGTTTCTTTGTGTTACAGTTAGAAGAATTGAATTCTTCCATGTATCCTTTGCCTAATATTAACATTCAAAAGTCTACAAATTATAATTTCTGGGAAATAGTCCCAATCGTGTTTTAAAAATGTGCTTTTTACATATAGTGAACAAAGGTACCCACTACTGTTTACAAGAGCCATCTTTCTTCCCCTTTGGTTTGCCAAATGTAATTCTCTAGTTGTTTTGTTTCTGGTTTGTGCTGCTTTACTTTGTATTGTTTTTGTATTTTTAAAACAAATTTTAAAAAATTTTTTAATCAAGAGAATTGAGGATTAAGCTAGTTGTCATATAAATTATTTTGAATCTTAGATTCTGAGGCTAAATGGCAGTTGGATATCCCGATATAGCATGCTTAACTTAATATTATTACATAGAATATTTTAAACGCATAAAATAGAATAGCTTGTGAAATGAAATTTTCATAATTAAGTGTACAAAACATATCATAGGAGTTGCTTAAAGGAAACCATGTAGGTACATGTAAAATATTCAGGTTTTGACATTTCAGTTTAGAGCAATTATTTCAGGAACTTTTCAAGATTTTTTTTTTTTGCATAGTGATAGGCACAATGTGAGGTACATAAGAACAATAAGAAATGACCCTACCTATGAAATAATTTAATTTGAGAGCTAAGACATCCCCTTTCAACCAAAAATTAGATACTAGAAAGGATATTGTAGAGTCAAGAGATTTAATTTTTGAAATTTGGTTCCACGTTTTGGTAATGTAACGTTGGGCAAATTGTTTAACCTCTCAGTGTCCTACTAATATACTTACGGTGATTGCTACATATAACAATGTGTATGTGAAGTTTTCCAAACCACATTTTTTATATATATATATATATATATATATATATACACACAAAGTGTGTGTGTGTGTCTGCATGTATATATATATGTTTACATATATATGTAAATTACTATTATTACCATAACACATGCTGTTGTTAATTGCTGAATTTTAGTCTTGAGTCAGTGATCTTTTTGAAAGTCTTCAAATTCTAGACATAGTATAATTACTATATTTAATAATTGTCTCATCACTTCTAAGTTTCTCAATAGCAACATAGGCACTTTCCCTTTAAACATATTTCTTTTTTTTAATGCCTGTCTCTTAGCTCCTGAGTGTAATTTCTAGAAATTTAAAAGAAGTACTTATTATAGAATGAACCTTCTTAACTCATGAATTCAGACAAAAACTCCATTTGACAGATGCACAAGATGTTCCCAATACTTCTACCAGCTAAACTGAAATCATCTGCTTTCTTGTGGTTTGAAGAAAAGCAGCATTCTTTCCTTTTCCAGCTGAATCCAGCAGCAGAATCATCTTCCACAATCAGGAATTAAAGTAATTAAAGTGCAAGTGCAATGATCGTTTTCACATAACTGCTTTTAGTACCTTTGACTTGCTGTAATTCACCATAACTGGAGGCCTAGGCCGTGTCGAAGGCTTCGTCAGGAAACGTGGTACAAAGGTTGTGCTGCTCTGCTTATTGTTGTTGCCTTACGGGGTTATACTTGAAGTGCATTGTGCTCAATGTTGTTGATAGGGCTGAGATTTATCCTTCCTGAGCTCACCGAACTTAATGCCACTCTTGTTCTAAGTTGATGATGCACAGGCTTTTTGTGGCAGCCCAGCTTCAGTTTACGTTAGACAATCAGTACACACACGGTGTGTCTGCCAATGGCCAGTGGTAACAAAATGTTAAATGAGTATTTGTGAAATTTGCTATTTTTAATAAAGTGGTTGTTTTAAATTTGTCTCTGTTGTCTGTTTGGAAGAAGCCTGCAGTCTTCAATCTGGGAATAGGAGAGTTCAGTTCTCAAAAATAAACTGTGCTCATAAAATTTGAGGTTCTGAAACTTTCTTGCAAATTTTGCACCTTTTGCACATTTAAATGTGGCTGTAATAAAAAGCATGTTAGACCTTGATTTAAATCCCCATTCTGCTCCTTAGCTGTACTTTCATGTACATTTACTCAGTTTATCTGAATTTAATTTTTATTTTTACTGTAAAAGGTTAATAACCAAGTCCTAGTGGTTGTTATGAAGTAAAAGAGTGTGTACTAAGATGCTTAACACAATAGCTGACACCAGTAATGTTCAGCAAACATTAGCTTCATCACCCTTTTCAAACAGCTTGATTGAAATAATCCATATACCATAGCATTTACCATTTTCAAGTGTACAGTTCAGTGGTTTTTAGTACATTCAGAGAGTTGTGCGCCCATCACCATATCTAACTCATCACTCCAAAAAGAAACCCATTAACAGTCACTCACTCACCACCATCCAGAACCCCCAGGGTTTGGTAACTAACTGGTAATCTACTTTCTGTCCATGAATTTGCCTAATCTGGACATTCTCTTCAAGTGGAATCATACAGTACACGGTGTTTCGTGACTGGTTTCTCCTACTCAGTGTGCTGTTTTCAAAGTTCATTCATGTAGCATGTATCAGCACTTCATCTCTCTTCACAGCCAGATCATATTCCATCTTCTGGATGTATCACATTTTGTTTATCGGTTCCTCGCTCACTTGCCCACCTGCCTTCACTGTAGAGAAGAGGCCTCCATGTTCCTGCCTCCTTTTTTCCAGGCCACAGAAACAAGCACCTAATTGGGGGTGGCGAGAGTCGGAACCCACTAAATGATAATTTTTTTAAATGATGGTTTTAGTAATTTGGGAGAATCTGAGTTAAAATAATTTTTTTCAATTTATCTAATAAGTCTTTTTAATATTCCTGTTATAAATGAGAAAATCACTAGAAGATCAAATACAACCCAGGAAATGTTTCTGTCGGGTTGAGAGAGTAGGGACTAGGGGGGAGGGGACAGCACGCTGGGGCCTGACACAATAAAAGGAAACTGCCATGGGACATATTTTTCTTGGATGGGTCCTGAGAGAGCAAAGCAAAGCTGTTTCCTGTGGGTTAGTGACAGCAGCGCTTGGCCTTGTTCATTCATTTGCCCTTTGCGTCAAGGGACCCCACGTGGGCCCCAGGTAACTATCTTTTTACACAACCACGTTAAAGGCAACTGGGGGGAAATGAGGTGCCTGGCTTAGAATAAAGTTTATTGTATGGATGTTGCATATTTCTTATAAATTTCAATTACAGGTGACTTAAAAAATACTAAGAGCAAACTAACTTCCAGACTTCTTAAACTTGTTTATTTACAAAAGTTATATTATTTAGATGGTTTTCTAACCTGCTTCTCATATTATGCCTATCTTTCCATGGCAATAACTATTCATCTGCATAGAAAGAAAGAAAACACATCAAGGCTTCACAATAACTAAAGACATTCTGACCAGAATCGTTAGAAACCAACGAAGAGAATGCCTTTTGGTTTTGGTGCCTTCTGCGTAATTCTAAAATGGACAACAGTGAGGCAGGCTGTTCTGAGGGTTTACCGGAGATAAACCCCACCTTTCCCGTCCCGCGCCTTCAGATGGCCAGCTTGCTCTGAGACCGAGCAGACGCCGGCTCGGGCACCCAGGTCCCCGCTGCAGCCTGGCGTCTTACCCGGGCTTCTGGGTCCTCAGGCCAGGAAATCCCAGTGCTCATGTGGGTGCCCCCCCCAACCCTCAGGGCGGAGGGGGCGGGGCCCTGTTGTCGGGTCCCTATGGAAACAGCCTGCAGGGGAGGTCTAGCTCCTGATTTCCCTGCAGGGTCCGAAAGCTGGCGGCTGCTCCGCGCGGGTCTCCGGCCGCCTCCCGGAGGTAAAGCCCTTGGCTGTGGGCGCATCTTTTGCTTGGGGCGCCCGGGCTGGTGTCGCTGCCCCAGGCGGCCTCGGGACGGCCCCGAGCAGCGCC